CTGCTGTTGTTAAGCACCACAGTCGGTTCTGACTCAGCAATTCTGTATGGGGTTTCCAAGGTTGGAACTGCTGACCTTGTGGTTCGCAGGCCAGTGCTGACCCTACGGTGTCACCGATGACCCTGAATTTCAATAGGCTGTTTTGAGTTGGGAAGGAAGGAATGGGACTGAGTCTCATTCAGATCTGCCTTAGGTTGTGAATGATGATGTCCGCAGCCAATTCTCATCCCCTCTGGCGAACCACAGGGCCTGGCCCATGGAAGACACTCAGACAACTTTGAGGAATGAATGAATAAATAAAACTGAAGTCGTCTGACAGAGGAAGGCTGATCTTTTTGAACATAGAAAAGGCACTACATTTGTAAATCAAAGACCACAGTGGAAATTGACTATGTAATTTTTAAAACAACTGGCAGGGATAGGTTTATCTTATTTAATGTTGTCCTCTCAGGACTGACCACATTATAGGCAATCAATCAACTTGTTGAAAGAATGAATGAATATCTATTTGAGTCCTGCTAGTTTCATTTGTTTGTGGGTTGAAGGCCCTTCATTTCTTAAATTTCACATTTCCACATATGTAAAAAGGAGCCAGTTTTAGAGGAGAAGGCAGGGGTTAGCATTTCATTTGTAAGACACCAGTTAATTGCTCTATAAGCTTCAGCTGTTTTGTGTGTGAGGGTACAAGCTATGATAACTAGACAAATGGGAAACTCTCTTATAAAAGGTGTGATCTTTTACCAATCCTTCAGGAAGCAGCTTCACAGTACAAACTAGAGGTGAAGAGTCAGTCTTTACCCATTCATCTGATCAACGGGTAACAACTAGCTCAACAACCTAAAGCCTAAAGGAGCTTAAAAATGTCAACATCCATATAAAGAAATTTACATATATATAGTCTAGGAAGTTGAGGCTGCCTGCACCCGTAAATCTGTCAGCCTTCTTGTTGTTGTTAAGTGCCATCAAGTCGGTTCCGACTTATAGCGACCCTGTATAGGGTTTTCAGGGAGTGTCTGGTGACTCTGAACCGCCGACCTTGCTATTCAAACTAACCTTGCTGCTATGAGTTGAAATTGACTAGAAGGCGGTGAGTTTGTTTATTTATATGCATATATGTGGCACTGTAGGATAAGCACTGAACTGCTGGCTCAAACCCACCAGCTGCTGCTTGAAAACCCCATATAGGGTTGCTATAAGTCAGAACCAATTTGATGGCACTTAACAACAACAACATATATATAGCAAGAGAGAGAGTCTTGGTGTGGTGCTTTGGGTTAATGCACTGGACTGCAAAGTTGCTTTGAAGCTCATGGTCAGTGGTTCAAGCTCACCAGCTGCACCTTGGAAACCCTGTACAGGATTGCTATGGGTTGGAACCAACTCCATGGCACACAAAAACAACAATATATATATGTATATATATATATATGTTGTTGTTGTTGTTGTTGTCAGGTGCCATCGAGTCGGAACCGACTCATAGCGACCCTATGCACAGCAGAACGAAACAATGTTCGATCCTGGGCCAACCTCACTACCGCTGCCACACCTGAGTCCATCAATGATGCCACCTGGTTGATCCATCTCGTTGGGGGTCTTCCTCTTTTTCTCTGACCCTCCACCCTACCCAGCATGACATCCTTCTCCAGCGATTGTTTCCTCCGGACAATATGTCCAATATATATACACACACACACACACACACACACACATATATATATATATATACACACACACACACATATATATACATATATATGGGTTGCTATGGGTCGAAACTGACTCTATGGCACTTAACAACAACATAGCGACCCTGAACAGGGTTTCCGGGACTGTAAATCTTTATGGGAACAGAAAGCCTCGTCTTTCTACCACAGAACAGCTGGAACTTTCGAACAGCTGACCTTGTGGTTTGCAGCCAGATTCGTAACCACTATGCTACCAGAGCTCCTAACAACAATAATACATATATAAAAAAGACATTTGTTGTTGTTATGTGCCGTGGAGTCGGTTCTGACTCACAGCGACCCTGTACAGGGTTTCTGAGGCTGTAAATCTTTACGGGGGCTGAAAACCTCATCTTTCTCCCGCGGAACAGCTGGTAGTTTCGAACTGCTGACTGTGAGATCAGCAGCCTGATTCATAACCACTATGCTATATGTATAAACAAAAATGATGTAGACCACTTGAAAAATGTGTAAGCACATGAGACTTAAAATTTGGCCATAATCCCACTTGGAGGTAACCTCAATTAGCCTGTTAGATGTGTTTCTGTCCCACCTAGAATGTAGAAAATGGAATCAGCATTTCTCCCACCATCATAACAAGAAAGAGCCAGATAATCTAAACATCATAATTTTCTTGAACCTGTCAGAGAGTTGAGGTCCCATTGAAACCACCTGGCCAGAAATTGTGGAAAGACAGGTGTCAACAAAGAGAAAAAGAGTCAAGGCTCGGTTGCTGACTCATCTGTGGCAGAGGGAGGAAAACAGGATATCCCCACAAAGGAGGAAAAATAATTCAGCTAAAATGCGAGCTACTATGAGCATATGGAACTCTGGGAGCTACAGCCACAGAAGTTCAAAACTATTCACAGGCTCTTCTCCACGGATCTCACCAGGTGTTCATGAGAAAGACTGGAGGCAGCCTAGCAGAAGGGAGGAAGCTTGTCTCAGAAGTGCATTCTGGGAGGAGGGGAGCAGCAACTGCTGTGGCAATGGCACAAAGTCCCATCAGGAGCTTTGAAACCTATGGAACAAAAGCCTCAAATGGCTAAGGGAAGATCATCAAACCCTGTTGATTCCAGGGAAAGCAGAAAACCTCCTAACAATCTAGGGAAAGAGGAGGCGTTTCCATTTCCAGTCATAAATGCTATTTACCTCCGCCTCTACTATTCTACACATGTTTGACAGCCAATCAGAAAATTATGAGACAAACAGAAGAGAAAGAAAAGAATTCATTTTCAAGACAAAGCAATCAACAGAACGAGACTATCAAATGGAATTTGAAGTAACTGATTACTGCGCCAGCCCCGTGTCTTCCAGAGTAGAACTGTTCCGTGGTTTCACACGCCATGAGATGGAATCAATTTGAAGGTAATGAGTTAGTTTGGTTTGGGTTTATGATAATGTGATCCAATCGGCAAATGACCCTGGGGGTGATGCAGGTCACGAAGCAGGGTTTGGTCCCATTGCGCACGGGGTCACCATGAGGCAGGCATTGACTTGACAGCGACTAACAACACATGATTAATAGGTTTAAGACCCTAATGAGAATAAGGAATCCCAGCAGACACATGAAAAAGAACTTAATATGTTAGAAATGAAAACAAAAAACACAATATAATAACAGAGATTAAGGACCGCTTAAATAGAATTGACACACCTGAAAAAGAAAAAAAACACAACAATCAGTAAACTTGAAGACAGGCCAATAGAACTAACCCAAACAGAAAGAGAAAATGTAAGAAAAAAAGTGAAACAGAACATCCAAGAATTATGGGGCAGTATCCAATGGTTGACTTGTGGTGTGATGCTGTAGGATAAGCACAGGACTTCAAAAAAGAAAGAAACATCTGCTCTTTAAAAGACACTATTTGAAAAAACAAAAATACAAGACAGAAGTTGGCAGAAAATATTCTCAAAATACTTGTACTCAGAATATATAAAGAACATATAAAGAACTCTCAAAATGCAGTAAGAACAAAATTAGCAATAATAATAATAATAAAAGTAAGCAAAAGACTCAAAAAACATAGAGAGATGGATGGTAAAAAAGCAGCTGAAAAATACTCAACATCACTAGTCACTTGGGAAATGAAAATTAACATCACAAGGTGATACTATTACCCTGTCTTTGCAGTGGCTAAAACAAACAAACAAACAAAACCAAGTAATCTCAAGTGCCGCTGAAGATACAGAGCCACAGAAACTTCCTATTTTATTTCTGGGGATGCACTCTAGAAAACTGTTCAAAAGTATGAGAGGGCTTCAAAAAGTCTGTGGAAAAATTCCATTCTCTTCTCATTCCATTTTACTATGAACTTTGTGTTCAAAAAGTTGAAATATGTACTTACTAGAGAACTAAGCAATCCTATTTGTAGGTGTTTACACAAGGGAATGAAAACAGACCCAACATTTATATGTGAATGTTGATTTGGCCTTTATTTAGAATGGCCCCAAACTGGAAACAATTCAAACACCATCTAGTTGGTGAATGGATAAACAAAAATGAGGTTTATTGATATTATGGAATACTACTTGGTTCTCAGAAAGACCAAAATACTGATAGACACACAGCAGGGATGAATTAAAAATGCATTATACTAAGTGAAAGAAGCCAGACTCCAAAGCCTATATACTACTGTACAACTTCACTTCTTTAACATTCTGAAGAAGGTAAAATGGTAGGGACTGAAAACAGATGAGCAGGGGTAGAAAGAAAACTGGACGAAATAGAAAAATGAAGGAATTTTCTGAGCAACTATTCTATGTTTTGATTGTGCACACTGAAAAAGGTACATTTTAGTATACATAAAGTATATCCCTAATAAACCCGAATTTAAATAACCATACCGAAAAACTATAAGATATATAATAATGCATAACAAAATGATAGAGCTAAGAACAAAAAGGAGCTCTGGTACCGTAGTGGTTACAAGTAGGGCTGTTAACCTCAAGGTCAGCAGTTCGAAACTACCAGCTGTTCTGCAGGAGAAAAATGAGGCTTTCTGCTCCTGTAAAGATTTACAGCCTCGAAAACTCTATGCAGGGTTGCTATGAGTAGGAACCGACTCCATGGCGTATCACCACCACCACCACCAAGAACTAATGTTATCAGTTGTATCGACAAACGTAAAAGATTTAACTCGTCTAATAAAATAAAACTATGATCAGATTGGGTCCTACAATAGTTCTAATGGTTCTGAACTCAAGTGAGTTTTAAAGGTTAAAAATAAAAGGATGAGGCCAGCTATGAGAGGAGACAAGAACACCTGTGCCCACCTGTCAGGTAACGCCTGCAGCACTGTGGGCATCAGCACCCCGGAGATCGCTTTGTAGAGGATGGAGTCACACACGCCGACAATGTTCACCACCGTGGAGGAGCCCAGCACGGGCAGCATGTGGGGTGGCATCCCTTGCCAAAAGTGCAGAAGGAAACTCTGAACCTGCATGGACCCACAGAGAGGAGAGGAAGCATGAGCTACAGAATAATTCCCAACAGAGCCACTGAGGCCAGCCCAGTCATTAATGCTACCATTCACCCGCCTTGGAGCTGGAGCTAACGAGACCCTGGATGCTCTTCTATCCCAAGTCTTCCCACCACTCAAGAACTGCATGGCCTGGGAGACTGGAGTCTCCTCTGGGAGAGAGGAGGAGCATATTCATCTATCAGCCTCTTCAGTGTTTATTTTGGTCTGGGAGGTGATTAAGAAAGGGGAGTGGGATGCTGCTCATAAGATGGTCAGGGCACAGGCAATCACTGTTCGGAGAGAGCCTGTTGGTACCTTAAGGGCCTTTGGGCGTTCCGGGAAGGAAGGGAAAGACATAGGACTTGCAGGTGATTGTGTCTAGAAGGGAAGAGAGAAGGTACCACAAACAAAAAGATTCTCTTGATTTAAGCATGTGTGTCCAACATTAGGTGAAGTACAAGGCTCTCTTCAGCTTCAAATACCTCTGAAGAGCCCTGGCTGGTTGGCGCCATTTGGGGGTGCTAGGTGGTGATGTCTGTACTCTAAGTTACGTGGGCACACGAAGAATTTGTGATTGATGTTTTAAAAATCCCCAACCCCTTGGACAGAACAGGAATATAATAAGTACTCAAATGAAGTAGTTTTTAATATGATGCAAGCAGGAGCTCAAATGGTGCTGTTAATGAACAAATGGTGGAGTAGGTATCCAGGGCAAAGAGCTTCCCATACTTGTTATCTTCTGGTACATGAGTTGGAGGTGAGAGAGAAAGATAAGAAGTGAATGTAAATAGCAGGAGATGATTAATAATAAAAAATACCTCAACTTCTGCTAACATTGAGGAGCAACCCATCTTGAAGCTGGGGAACAAATGCCTGTTCTAATAGACAGAACTCAAAGTGAAGAGAAACAGCTATAGACATCCACTAATAATCAGAACATGAAATGTACAAAATATGAATCTAGGAAAATTGAAAGTTGCGAAAAATGAAATGGAACATACAAACATTGATACCCTAGGCATTAGTGAGCTGAAATGGACTGGTGTTGGCCATATTGAATCTGACATTCACATAG